GAAGTGTTAGTGGCTAACAAGAGCTAAATTCACCATTTTTTTAATAAGCAGAATACTTCTACTTGGTATCTTGTGTAGTACGCAAACACAAAAAGAACAGAATGTTGAGTTTGATAGCAAAAGCATGGCATAGCCTATATAAAGAGCTATAGATGATAAACTATTATATAATTGTTTTCTAATAACACAAACAACACACAAGAAATGAAAATTTGATTATGTAGCACCATTTTGACCTAAAAGAATTTGTTTGTAAGGGTCCTTTTGAGGATTTGTTATTTCCGCAATAAATTTCAAGGTTAAGTCTGGTACGGTAACTTTGCTCTGCCTTCTTGGTGAACATGTCAAACGCAGAGAGAATGTTATACCACACCTGGTGATATATATATTTTTTTCTAATATCAGTATTACAGTTTAGATATATAATTAGTTTCTGTTTTTTGGAGAAATAAAGTAACACATATATGCTATACAAATTTTTTCCTAGGTTTTCTATGAAACATATCAGAAGTTGTTATTGATTTGTCTTAGAAATTGAATGAAAAGTTATTTAAGAGTTTCTTATTACCAGTTCTGAAAAAAATATAGATAGGTCTTTATTAATTTCAGTTGACATTAGTCAGTGAAGGTTTTGCAGATCTTTATCTTGAATAACCTGATATAGCTGCTGAATTAGGATAATGTAATGCCTGTATTAGATATAAAAGATTTATTTTCTTAGTAAATTTAGATGGATTTGAATGTGATTGGTTTTAGTTTTAGATCCAAGTTAATTATATTACTAGGACATATTGTGGTACTACTTGAAAAAGGTGTCGATAAAGATGGTTAAGTTAGCTAGGAAAGAGGAACATTCATTTTCAATATTACATTGGTAATCCTCTCTCTTTGTGTAATGGCTCATTCTTTTTCATTAGCTTTTTTCAATAAATGACAAAATGAATTCTGGCCATTCATTAAGTTGTGGTGTGAATGGGACAAATATCCTTTAATGTAGAGTATTCTCAGCTTATAATCTCTAGGTTTATGTTCCACCCTACTCAGTGGCCTCTCTAGCGAAAGATTTTTATTGCATCACTTTCAGTTGTATTCTTATTTCATCCAGATCAAACCTGCTTTTTGAATGTGACTTGAATCATGAAAAAAACAATAAACAAAACAAAATAAGGCAATCCATTTTTGAATATCTAAAGAGTTCACTGTCATACAGTTTGTTTACATCTGTAGTTCAACTTACATATCATGCTGCAACAGCAATATTTGTTTTGCATAGTAGGCAAAACACTGGATGTTGCCAGGAAGGAAAATAAATGCCACATCATCATTTTTCAAGACCTTGCCAGTTAGCAGTATAGACATAACAATCCCACCAGTAATGCAAATATTTAGTAAGGTGTTAATATATCTGCTTAACTTATGATTTTTTTTTCTATTTTTGTGATTAAGGATATTTTGTTTTTTAAGCTCTCTTATGTTGCATTTAGTGAATTGTTATCACATGTTTTGCTGTCAATTGCATTATTATGGTAATTAAATTCAGGAATATAACTTCATGCCATCCATCAGATAATGAGTTAAAAGAATGTACATTTATTGCCTGGCAGACAATTCTGGAGGAGTATGATACAGAAAACTATAGCAATTATGGCCTTAGTAAATTCAAAAGGAAGTTGCAATACTAGTGCATGGTTCTGAGAGTATCAACTATTATGTATGTGAGAAAGTGCCTTAGAAATAAGATATGAAAAGGGTTGAAGGTTATGTAATTATATTGATAAGGAAGACTTAATATTCATCTTTATTTTTCCTCCTGTCTTTAGTAATACTAATACTGTCATCAGGTTTTTGTATATAAAATGGATTTGTAACATCATAGGATTTAAATAATACTGTTGATGTTGTTATAAGGGTAACTGCTTAATGTTGATGAATATCATAGGTTATAAGCTTGCATTGTTATGAGTTATAGCTTCTTGTTATTATGCAGTATTTTCTGGCCAAGTTTTTAAAATATTTATAAAAGCAAGAGGTGATTCCCATTTGCTCATTTATCCATCTATATTTTTTGCTGTTTATAGAACATTATAAAATGTGTATTTGGCAGGTTAATTTCCAGTTTAGATAATTTTCCAATTGAATTACCAGATTTTTGGGTTTTATTAGTGAAAAGGACAGAATTAATCGACCGTGGTTTCTGGACTTCAGCAAAGGCCATCTAACTTTCCCACGTATAGTTGAGCAAAATGGAGTGTGGACTGAGTCCATATTTATTAATTAATTGTCAGGCTTTGTCTTTCTATAGTGTGCATTATAGAAATCTGTCAGAATTTGGTAAATGATAGTGGGTTTATCTTTTTTTTTGCTCAGATTTTTTTTTTTATACCTTTGTTCTGTAATCCTTGGTTTTGTCTCTTATGTGTTTCTACTCTAGATAGTTACTAATTTTTTTTTGTTAAATTTGATTAAGGACGACAATGTTTGTTCCTATTCATACTTTTATTACAACTGTCATGGGATACTGTGTTAATGTGAGGATTATTTGAGTGTTCTACAGCATTTTATTATCACCATATCTCTTTTGAAATTTTCCTTGATAGCAGTGAAACCACGAACATTGCACTTCTGTGAATACAGTGATTCATCATGTTACTTTTATTACAGAATCTAGAATGATTAAATTTGTGAGATTCTCCTGTATAACTGTTACGAATTGAAGTTTAGGAACAAGATATTTTCAGTGTAAAGCAAAATTAAAAGGTCCTTTCAGTGTAAGGTAAAATGAAAGGTATATGTTTACTGCATATTTTACTATTTATAGAATTGAACAGGTGCATTTACAAATCATCTGTCAGTTGCTTTTTCTAGTTTGGTGTATAGTATATCTCTTCTTAGGGTTAATATGTCAGTACTCTTTTCCATTAATTGTCTCTTTTATTCAACTATTCAGAGTATTTTTATTTACAAGAAAAAAGAAGAAAGAATTTCTTTCCCCTACTTTGAAAATGTCTTACTTTCAGATAAGATAGTGTCAATAATGATATCAACACACATTTTGTGGCCAGGATAAGGATGTTTTCCTTGCGTATAGTAACAGTGGACCACTATCAGGGGACTCCTGTCAATGGTCTTGATCCACAGTATTCTACCTTCCGCGGGGCACCGGTAAAGCGTGTTCCTGTCTTGCGCATCTTTGGTGCTACGCCAGCAGGTGGGTTTCTTTTGTAATGTTATTTAGTTATTTAATTATTTATTTTTGTTTTATAAAAAAAAACAAATATGAAAATAACATGAATGAGTCAAGCAAGTAACACATATTTCTCTTACTCTTTCTACAGGCCAGAAGGCATGCTTACACGTACATGGAGTTTTTCCATATATTCTTATTCCGTACGATGGTGCAGAATCTCTTTCTCGCTTGCCATACATTCTGGCAGCAGCTCTGGATAAGGCACTTAACATTGCTTTGGGAAATGCAAATTCAAATGCTCAACATGTCTATAAAGTGCAGCCTGTGTCAGGGATGTAAGTATTTTAGTTCAAATATAGGTGTGGTTTTGTTGATTAGATACAGTATGGGATAACAAGTGAAGCTTCTTTATAGGTATTGATAAGTTATTTTTGTGATTTTGATAGTATGATGTATACATTATAACATGATTTCAGGTTCACTAAAGAGTAATAGTGGATTTTTTTTTTTCTCAGACCATTCTATGGATATCATGCAAAGGAGCACCAGTTTCTCAAAATTTTCTTCTATAGCCCAGTCATTGTGAAAAAAGCAGCAGAACTATTACAGGTAAGATTATAGGCTTTTGTACAAGAAAAATGTGATGATGTAATATGAGTCTCTCTATCTCTCTCTGAAAAAGAAAAAGAAAGAGACAGAGACAGAGACAGACACAGACACAGACACAGACACAGACACAGACACAGACACAGACACAGACACAGACACAGACACAGACACAGACACAGACACAGAGACAGACACAGAGACAGACACAGAGACAGACACAGAGACAGACACAGAGACAGACACAGAGACAGACACAGAGACAGACACAGAGACAGACACAGAGACAGACACAGAGACAGACACAGAGACAGACACAGAGACAGACACAGACACAGACACAGAGACAGACACAGACACAGAGACAGACACAGAGACAGACACAGAGACAGAAACAGACAGAGACACAGACTCAGACTCTCTTTCTCACTTGCTCTCTCTCTCTCTCTCACTTGCTCTCTCTCTCTTTCTCACTTGCTCTCTCTCTCTTTCTCACTTGCTCTCTCTCTCTTTCTCACTTGCTCTCTCTCTCTTTCTCACTTGCTCTCTCTCTCTCTCTCTCTCTCCCTCTCCCTCTCCCTCTCCCTCTCCCTCTCCCTCTCCCTCTCCCTCTCCCTCTCCCTCTCCCTCTCCCTCTCCCTCTCCCTCTCCCTCTCTCACTTGCTCTCTCTCTTTTTCTCACTTGCTCTCCCTCTCCCTCTCCCTCTCCCTCTCCCTCTCCCTCTCCCTCTCCCTCTCCCTCTCCCTCTCCCTCTCCCTCTCCCTCTCCCTCTCTCTCTCTCTCTCTCTCTCTCTCTCTCTCTCTCTCTCTCTCTCTCTCTCTCTCTCAGAGACACAGACACAGACACAGACTCAGACTCAGACTCTCTTTCTCACTTGCTCTCTCTCTCTCTCTCTCACTTGCTCTCTCTCTCTTTTACACTTGCTCTCTCTCTCTTTCTCACTTGCTCTCTCTCTCTTTCTCACTTGCTCTCTCTCTTTTTCTCACTTGCTCTCTCTCTCCCTCTCCCTCTCCCTCTCCCTCTCCCTCTCCCTCTCCCTCTCTCACTTGCTCTCTCTCTCTTTCTCACTTGCTCTCTCTCTTTTTCTCACTTGCTCTCTCTCTTTTTCTCACTTGCTCTCCCTCTCCCTTTCCCTCTCCCTCTCCCTCTCCCTCTCCCTCTCCCTCTCCCTCTCCCTCTCCCTCTCCCTCTCCCTCTCCCTCTCC